CCTGCAGCGGAGTTTAGGTCCAGACACGGCTAGTGACGTCAGACTGAAGGACTGGATTAGATTATTGAATTCTTTATTACCACGTTTCTATTCAACAGTACTCACCCAGTCTTAATTTCTCATTTGGTACTCATACAGTTGACTCATAAACATGTCATAATATATGAAAGTTTCAAAAATGAAGAACACTGCTGATTATTTTTGATAACCACAACCATTAAACGTTCCAGTAACATTCCCAAGTAACCTGCTTACACTTACAGCTGTCAGTCTGAGTGAGCCTCATGAGAAATGTCTGGAAAGCAGGTGTAAACAGAGGCAGATTATGAGTAACTGTTGGATAATTTGCTGCTAATGAAGTAAAAATACACATATGAGAACTGAGACATTAAGCACAATCAGATGTTGTTGGAGCCAATAATTCCTCTCATAAAACGTTTATCAAGCTTTGGTGGATTTCATTTATATTTACCAGGTTTGCAGTATTGCGCGTTCTGTTGTAAGGGCATGAATGTCATTACTTGTTTAATTTTTGTTAGTCTATAATACACAATCTTTTGCCACTTTATTAGGTAGAAATATTGTATCAGTGGATGCTTGTGGTGGTGGTTTAATGCTGTGGGACTCATTGAAAGTCTCATTAAAAATCTCTTTCAAGAGAGTCATGGCCAAGAGTGCGATTAGAAATGAGAACATAACACAAAATAATATAATAAGTAAGAAGGAAATGAAACTGACATTCAGTACAAGTGGACACAAATATGTAAGTCATATGCAATAATACATCAAGAGCAACATCAAAAACAGTCACACTGACCAAAAGAGCTACTTTCTCACTCCTTTTAAATGGACTTAAACTCCCCCACTGTAACCAGTTCTGGAAATTTCAGGTCCAAGTGAAGATTATTCCAAACGTTTTCCTGCTCTGACTCTTGGGGCAAACATTTAAAATATTGTGAGAACATATACTGTACTACTTGTATTTTTTGCACACATAAATATTCACAAATAACAAGGCATTAGCCCAAGCAAAAACTTATATACAAAAACCAACTAATGAGGAAGTCTCCAGACGTACAGAGATACCTATTTAGCACCAGTATACAGAGAACTTTGATGTGCCAGATTTTCATGGCCTGCAGTAAAACATACAGCACAATGGTAGATGGTATCCAACCTCTTTAGGTACTGGCCACATAAATTCATAATCCAATAAAGGAACAAAAACGTTGCATATACGAAGTGTTTCCTCAAGTGGAGTGACAAACATTTAAAGATGTGACCTTTAAATGATAAATTCTGACCTATAATGATGCCTAAATACTTTTGTGACCATTTCAATTTCAGCTCCTTCAGTGGTTTTGATTTGAGGAAGTCTGAGCCCTTTAGTACCAACTGAACCTTCTGTGGCATCCATTTATGGCCGCCATCCTCTGATGGTTGCTTCCATAATGCACCAAGTAATAAAGCTTGAATCATCTCAAGCTGGTTTGTTGACCATGACAGGGAGGTCATTGTCTTAAAAAGCTATCCACGGTCACCAAATCTTAGTCCAATAGGGCACCTCTGGGATGCGGCTCTATTCACATCACAGATGGGCAGCCAATCAATCTGCAGCAATCTGATGCTATCATGTCAACATAAACAAAAATCTCTGAGGAATGTTTCCAGCACCATGATGAATCTATGACTTAAAGAATTAATGTATAATTAAGGTTTTTAAGGCTAAAAGAAGGTCTAACCTGGTACTAGGAAGACGTACCTAGTGAAGGGGCTGGTGAGCAGCTGCACCAATACAATATCCCCAGCAATAGAAAAATGAAGAGAAACTTCCAGGAATAGACACTACTTTAAATTCATTTATTCCCCTTGTTTGACAGTTATTGTTGCCACTTTACCGACTGAGGAAACTCAGTGAATTTAATTGAACTTTAAAAAGACGCTCATTAGTTTGTAAGTTGAACTTTTTAATAGAGGTCCTAATGAGTGAAAGGAATGGGCCTTTTCTTTTGATTTGATTGACATGTCTTCTTGGTGTGCACCACATTGTTTTTCTTGCTTTTAAAAGCCTGCGCTTGACGTTCCCAGCATGACATTTCACTTTCCTATTAAGTCATGCTCATTTAAATCCCAACAGTTGTGTTATTCTTTTTCTATACTGATCCCAAATTAAGGGGCTTCACACTTCTCTTCATTAACAGGCAGTTTGCCTCGTTAATGCAGGGAAGGAACTAAGAAAACCTAATGATAACTGACAAAGTACGTCCTCATCAAAGAAGGCCATTTTTACTTATTTTTCCCCCACTTATGTCACTGACATGTGAAGCAATGCAGATGTAATGTTTCATTTTTCTGTATTGTTGCCATTTTTAGGACAAACTTAGTAAGTTTTTTAATGTGTGGCAGCCATTTTTAGATCATGCATTAAAACAAATTCCTCTTTGATCGATAATTCAGTCTACCACCCTAGCATTTCATTTTTGTATCTTGCCAGTGTTGAAGTAGGATCTTTGTTGATGCAGTGTGATTTTTTGCCTTTTTTTGCCCTTGCTGTTGTGTTGTCTGTTTTGTTTTGTTTTCTTTATATCAAAAATCTTAATAAACATATTTTAAATAAATAAATAAATAAAAATCAGATCCCAGCAGGTACTATGTCAGATAGTGGTAGGGTAAAATGGACCGCGTGCTATATCTCAACCACAAAGGGAATGCACAGGAAAGCAGAGTAGCAAACAAAACTAAGTAGCCGTGAAACAGACTGAGAGACTTATCCAGCTGTCAGTGTAAAGAAATGTTATGTTTTGTGTGGAAAAATCAGCTTTAAAGCTAACATTTCTTCTTTTAAACTGATCCCCCCCCCGCTCTGAACGGTATCAGTAGCTCAAAAGCACTTCCCAAAGCAATTTCATCTAATGGCAACAGCTTTGTGGCCCCATTGCAGGGAAGTGAATCATCTTGTTATCCTCCCCACCAGGCTCCTGTGGCTCAGCAGCAGAATGAGGGGGAGAGGCACTCAACTGCCCCCCTGCCAGCCACACATCTGACAATGCAGCCGGCTTGCCAGACTAATATTAGGCTCTGACAATCACATTTGGACAAAAGCACACACACACGTGCGTGCCCTCACAGCTACAACATGCAAGTGGGCTTTTAGCCCTTTACTAATGGATCAATCTTCCAGGCAACATTAACAGTCACTTTGTACATATGCATGATGAGTATACACGAAACATCTATGCACAAAAACACCCAAAACGTAATTATCACACTTGGATCTGTTACTGACTGTCATGATCCAGTCAGTCACAGATTGAAGAGGGGGAAGAGGGTGAGGCCCCTCATGTTAAACTTCATCTATGGAACAAATGTGTTTGGGACAAGCTGTTGTACCCTCACAGAAAACCATTATGATTTTACCAGTGTATGAGGCCAGTGTTTTATTCAAAAGCTTTGAATTCATAGGTGCATCACCTGAAGCGCCAATAAGGAAGAACATTGAATTGTTCCCACGTCAGATTAGTGGATATTGTGCAGCAAGTCCTGTGAAACTAGAGAACAGCTTGGGTAAAATGGGCACATCACTGAACACCAGCTGATGAGATGATTTAAAAACACTGCCATAAACAATGCCATTACAAGGATAATTGCTGTCAAACCCAGTGATGGTTTTATCAGGTTATGTAACTTGCAATTACTTCATTATGGCCTGATAGAGAGCTACAGATGGTTTTACTAAAATCACGTCCTGATTTGCAACTGGTGTTGCAATTTAAAATGTATTAAAATGAGCATCCATTAAAACTTGGACTACTTTATCTTTTATTCATTCCCATAGGAACAGTAACAGCAGTAATTGTTGACAAACCATTGCATTTATTTGGTATGAAGGCCATCTTGTGGTTATTCTCTTGTAGCTTTTTGATTTGGTCTTGGTTTTCTCTCTAGGTTCCAATTTCTGTAATTTAGGACTTATGATGTGTCTCATACTATATCTAGCTGTAGAAAAGATTATCCCTAATGTTAAATGACATGCAAACCAGCATGTTTGGTATTCATTACCATGAAAAATTTCCTTGAGGAATAGTATGAACATTGATTTTGCCAGGTGCTGGAGATTGCCTTCTGATGAATCTATATCTTCAACATTTGCAGGAAAATTTTGGAGATTTTCTATCCTGGTGACACCTACAGGATGATCAGGCTGGCTCTGGGATTTGCTGTTATCCTGACCACTTTCTGCATCATTTACTGGACAGCAGCAGAGCATTTGTCTAACAGACTGATTCAGCTCTGACAGTAAATCTTTCATACCTCACGCTCTCTACAGTTTACACATCTGTCTGGCAAGGCATCACCTCATGCTAACAGTTTATTTCAAGACTGTGCTGTCAAAACACCTTACACTCTTACACTTACCCACTGTATGTCCTCTGATTTTTGCTATGCTGCTTTACTACAGTCAGTAAGCTAGTTTAAATTCTTTTCTTTGACATGTTTTACTTAGCTGTACATTATTATTGCATCTTTTTTCCCACCTACAACAGACTGACAACCTGTCCTGAATGTACCCTGGTTCTTGGATAGTCCCCAGCCCTCAATGCACCTGAAGTGGATAAGTTGAAGAAAGCAAATGGATGGATGGATGGATTTCTATTTCAGTTCACTTTTTTAAAAGCATTTATTTTCATTCCAGGTTAGTTATTGTTTGGTCATGTCATAGTCTGTTTTGTTAAGCTTGTATTCTGTGTTTGTTTGGGATAAAGTTTATCCTATCTTATTGTCCCTATTGTGACATACTACTGCCCTTTTCTCCATAGTTACATGAATTTCTCAATTATTGGAGTAATAAACAGATAGTTCGACGGGACTAGCTATTTAAAATCTATGATTTAGTTGAAATTCTTCATTATTCAGCTACATCTTTTATTAAAGCCAATTTTAATAGTTTTTTCAGTAGCCCTTTCGCTGTGACAAAAAGCCTAATACTATGAAGATACGGAATTTTTTCTGGATAGTTTTTTTTTCCTGTAGTCCTGTGCGAGAACTACAAATCTTAGAGCATCCTGTAGAGTATCATGTGATCATCGAAGGGGCGGAGTTAAACGTAGTTTCGCTCTGGACCTCCGCACGGTAATTTTGTAGCTGTAGGTAGCTTATCACGGTGCAGAGAAGGTTTGTTGTGGCATTGTAATTTAGCATTATTACATTTTACGAACAGAGACGTGGGCCCCTGGTGTGTGGCAAACCGCTGATTTCTCAAATCTTAAGCGTGTTTTGTGGAAATGTTATGTTAGCTAGCTTACAGCTAACTTGGCTAGCGTTGTTCAGTAAAGTTAGCTGTGGTTGTTAAAGTGATGCTCCCACTGTGGGAAGCTAGAGGACGAACTCTCGGGTTTAACCTTCGTGTGATGATAAAAGGTGGTTTTACAACATGATCTGTGATTGGAGGGATTCAGCTGATTTAAATCACTTACGAGGCTCTCCTCGTATGGCACTTGCTTGCTCATTGTGCGAGTTATGCTTGGAGTCTCCCGGTAAATGCCAGAAGGCCTGTGCTGTGTTGTTTGAGCTGCTTTTTGTTTGGCTGCATTGATTTAGGTCACACCTGCCTGGATGCTGCTTATCTCTGTAAACCAAGCCAGCACTTGCCCGTCTGTACTGTATCAGTTTTCACTCTGACCCTGTCTTATCTTTCTTTTCTTTTTTTTTTTGTCTTACAGTAAATCAGGTCAGAGGCTTAAAGCCGCTGGATTTAAGTGGCAAAAGGCTTTATTTCTTTGACCTCCATCATCATTAACTCAGGGACGACAGCCACTGTGAAGAGGTTATTAGCTTCACTCGTTTGCTGATTAACCTCTGTGTCATCTTGGGTAAGAGTTAATTCTGCTGTTATTTAATGTACGTCTAAATATCCAAGGGATATTTATGTTTTGGTGTCGGTAGTATTTGACAGTAAGTCAAACACCATAAACAGACTTAGTTTTATGATTATGGATCTGATATGATTATTACAAACTTATTATTATTATTACACACTTATTATTATTACACACTTTATTGTAAGTTAGGTTTTGTGGACTCTTAACCACTAATCTAGGTAAACTGTTTTAATAGCGTAATGTATTGGTCTCATTCTATGTCAACTGACCCAGAGCATCCAGCCTGATGATCTCCAATTTCCTTGAAAAACTTCCAGTGATGATAGACTTGAACTTTTGAAATTATTTATTCCTGAAGTCACAGTAGCAGATATTTGGCCTATAAATTAGAATGACATAGTGTAAGTAGTTCTCTAGCTTCAGGGCAGTCAGAGGTGGTCAGGCTGGGAAATGTTCTTAAATTTGGTTATGTCAGTTGTCATGTAAAGATCCATATGGGAAAAATGTTGTTCTGCTCCCAAGATGGTAAATAGCAAATGGATGTACAGCGCTTTTCTATTCTACCTGAGCACTCAAAGCACTTTATACAACTTGCCTCAATCACCTGTTCATACAGGCACTTTTTTCTATGCTTTTTCTACTGAAGTGCTTTCTGTCTAACATTCATGCATATTTAAACGAGAAACTTGGGGTTAGTATCTTCCCTGACGATACTTGGCATTAATACTGGAGCAGCCAGGGCTCAAACCACCAACCCTCTGATTAGTAGATTACTTGCTCTCCCTCCTTTTTTAATTTTGTTTTTTCTTTAATATTGTGAGATAGATGACAAAAGGAAAACAAATCATCTGTCAGGAGGAAGGTACAGAAACTACCAGGTTTGATTTGAAGTTGCTTTGTTAAGAGACAGTGCTTGACATTTTTATTCAGGATAGTGAGACAGAACATTTTTCTTGGTAGAGGATGTGTTTCTGAATGTCCTTTTAGCTCTTGTATGCTATTAATTTTGTTTGGATCTTGAGTGCTGCAGTGAGCAATGCAGCTGTACGGCAGCACTCTACCTTGACAGCATATAGATTAAAAATTATGGAGCGTGATAATACTTTTTAATGTGACTATACTGCTTGTTAAATGCTTTGTTCTGATTTTTAGGGTTAAGTAGGTGTCAGGAAACATCATATCAATAAGTCACTGGAGAAGATGGAGACAACAGGGAATGTGTCCAATGGTGCAGGGCCTGTGTATGAGCAGAAAGAAAAGACCCTCAGGTAAAGCTGCTTCCAGTAACATAGTATCTGTGTTAATAAGATTTGAAATGAATAATCCTGCTTCAGTTTTGCCACATACGTAACAAACCAAACTTCCTTTCTTTCTCCAGGCCAGAGGATCTGTCTGAGATGCTGGCAGCAGGGACCAAGCAGATTCACGAAAAGGCTGAGAACACTCAGTTTGTGAAAGATTTCCTCAGGGGTCGCATCCGCAAAGAGCTCTTCAAGGTGAGTGTCAAGAAAAAAGGTAGACGATGTCCTTTTTTTATATAGAAGACTACTTCACAAAGCAAAGCCTGCAAATAAATGTGTTATAGAAAACTGGTGGAAACAAGAACACAAAGCAGACAGCTCATGTTACGCTTGTGTTTGAAGAAGGGCAGAAAAAGTGGCTTTTACACCAACTTTTCATGTTTGTTTCCCTCAGCTTGGTGCGGTGGCGCTTTACTACACATACACGGCCCTGGAGGAGGAGATTGAAAGAAACAAGGATCACCCCCATTTTGCTCCTCTTTATTTTCCCGCTGAGCTGCATCGCCACGAAGCTCTGGCCCGTGACCTCGAATACTTTTACGGTCCAGAATGGAAGAGCCACGCAAGCTGCTCAAAGGCCACCCAACAATATGTGGACCGCATCCATCAAGTAGGGCAGGAGGACCCAGTGTTGCTGGTTGCACATGCCTACACTCGCTACATGGGGGACCTATCTGGTGGGCAGGTGCTGAAGAAGGTGGCACAGAGAGCCTTGAAGCTGCCGCCCACAGGAGAGGGCTTAGAGTTTTACCAGTTCGATGCCATCCATAGCGCCAAAGCATTCAAGCAGCTGTATCGAAGTCGGATGAATGAGCTGGAACTGGACATGGAAACAAAGAAGAGACTGGTGGATGAGGCTGTGAAGGCTTTTCTGTTCAACATTGAGGTGAGAGGCCAAGCCTTAAGTCTTAAACCTCAGTTGTTGAACAAGTGTGTCTCCAGTTCACCTGTTTATACACAAACGCATTCAAGCACCGTTGGTGGTGGACGTGCAAGGTTCTTCTGTTTCAGTAGTGTAATAAATCGGGGCTCCAGCCATCAACCTTATGAGTTTTGCTCTTTCCAAGTATTTGAATTACTCATAGATGTTTCATCTATCTGTGTTATCCAACAACAAATTGTAGACTTTATATTTCAACCTCACATGCTTCACGTTCGTTCTGGCAGGTGTTTGAGGAGTTAGAAGAGATCGGCAAAACCATCCAGGAGGATGTTTTAGATGCTGGCATGCCCGTTCATGGAGCAATGGGTGGAGACATCAGCAAATGTCCCTACTACAATGCCAAAATGGGTAAGTGTACTACCTTTGTAAATATATGTAAGTGATACCGTTTCTTGTCACTAACTAAGCTTTTGTCCGGACCTCCTTTGTGTCACAGCGGCATCAGGTGGAACAGCATACGTCCGTCAGCTGGCCATGGCTGCTCTCAGACACCCGACAGGACAGGTCCTGTTTGCTACTTGGTTTGCTGCCTTGGCTGGACTGGTTGCGTGGTATCTGATGTGATCTGTCGCTCCGTCTGCCACTCTGCTGCTGTGTGAAAAGAGGACTGTAACAGGAAGGACAGTAAAGGACACTGAGATCTTTCCACGAGATGTGGACCGTGTCATAGCTTGTGGTCCAAGTTTATTTATTGTTACATATTGCATAATAATGTAAGCTTACAAAAATATGGAACAGTTAAATTCAAGCAAAATGATCTATAGGACCAATATAATTCCATCCATCACGCTAGATTTATTCATCTTTTAAATTCTCTACCTCCTCCTGCATTATTCCTCCAATCTGTGTCCTTCCAGTTGCATTTGGTCGTATCTCGAGACCTCATGTAGATCTCCTATTTTCTTACTGAAGCGACATTTCGTTCCACAACTGTATCTGGCTGTTTAGTATTTATTCCTTAATAATAAATTGAACATAGAGTGAGTTAATTGTGTGATTAGTAAAGTTCGCTGTGCACTTTAGATTTCTACTGAAGCCTTTAGTAAGAAGATTATTTGGAAGTGTAAACTTTGACTCCTCGTATATAATTATCTTTATTTCTGCACAGTAATTCAGTTGCAAAGTTAATGGGAAACCCAAATTTCATTAATCCATTAAGCTTCAGCTTCAAATATTTCGAAACGGTTTGTTTGTTGAGACGGGCGATAGCAGTTAAAAGCTTGATTAATAATCAGTCTTCACATACTAATAACATATACAGGATATTTTAATCTCTCCTGGTGCATGTTCACTTGTATAATTTCTCTGCTTTCAGAATTATGTGACAGTGCACCTTGTATTTGTTCAACAAAACCAAACAAACTTGCCTGTTGGTTTGATTGCAGAGCTTAACTATCCAATATGAATAATTCACTGTAATAATTCAGCTTTACTGGCAAACGGGAGCCTATATTAGGACAGAGGTGCGTGCGGCTGTTTTAAGAGGAAGATTGTATTTTTGTACTAATGACGCTTCATCCACATTCTTTCATGAGATGAATTTGTGTGAGAATACCTTCAGCAGCTCAGCACTTATTTATGTGTCCATTCGTTCATCAGTATGCATTGTGAATGTATGAAGTGGGATGATCACCTATATTGAGTTTTGTTTTGTTTTTTTAAGCACAGAGAAGTGTGTACTGTATGTATTTTGTGGTTGAAGTATAATCTTTATCCTAACACAGTAACGGTATTTTTTAACTTAAAGCACTTGAGGCACAGAGAACCAAAAAAACAAAAAAATACTGCACATAAGTGGATGTGCAGTATTTTTTGATGACAGATGGCTTTATGCATCATATATGGAGGACAAATACAGGGATAGGCCGATACGCTCCTGTAGTTTCCATGTAATACCATTTTATAATGCTAGTGTCAAAATGATTCAGTAGTTTTGGACCTATTATCGTAGATTAAACGTGGAGTGATTGCCTGAGTCATATGTATTTCTGATTTTCTTGCATTTTCATTGACTCTGCTCTTAATCCTTATCTGTATCTAACTGGAGCTTTACTAGTAACTGGCTAGAGTAATCTCTTTGTATGAGAGTGGGGAAAAACTGTATGTTATGCTTTCAGTAATGAAAAAAGACATGTTTTGTTTTCATGAAGAAATAAAACAAATTCTTTTTGACTCGTAGTTGCTCCTTTGTTTGTTTGGCTTTTCTATCATACAGCTACAGTAATTATACGATTTTGGGTAAAACATGAGATGGATTTGTTGTATACATTCATTGTCACCTAAAGGTCTAATAACAGATGAATTGTAGGTGCCAGGTTATGTTACTCATAGGGTATGGAGGGTATGCTTGCCTCTTTGGATTTTGAATTAAAGTTTAATGTTGGCACACCTTTGGCTACGTTCACACTGCAGGCGAAAGCGCATCAAATCCGATTTTTTTGACACTATGCGACCCATTTCCGATCATGGTGTGACAGTGTGAACGGCACAAATCCGATATTTTCAAATCCGATGGGTTACTTTCGTATGTGGTACTGAATCCGATACATATCCGATGTTTTAGAAAGCGACTGCTGTTTGAACGGTCATGTCGCATTAAATCCGTCTTTTACATCACTGACACAAGACATACACCAATTATCAGCGCCGGAGAAGACATCGCGAACGCTTCCTGGCCATCCAGCGTAGATGTCAGTGAAACTGTTGGGAAGACAATGTTGGAGAAACGTGAACATTTTATTTGTACTGAAATATCTGCAGATTCTGACAGAAATCTGCAACTATCCTTTGAAGCACCGCTCCTCTCTAAAACAGCAATAAGGATATTTATTAGGTTATCTACATTATTATGTAAATAACAAAATAACTTAAAGCAAAAATTGGGAAACGTGAAGTCCGAAGTCTTTATATTAAGGGCCATCAGTCAAACAATATTGTTTGCTGTGGGTCTAAACAGAGTGCGTTATGTGTGACATGTTCTTTTGCGCATGCGGGCCGCTTTGAGCGTTCACACTAGAGCACGTTTGCTGTCGCATTTTATTTGTAGTGTGAACAAGCAGACAAAAACATCGGATTTGATCAAAAAATCGGAATTGAGCATTAACACCTGCAGTGTGAACGTAGCCTTTGAGAGATGCTCCTTTATTTTCGCTCATCACCTTTTTGTTGCACAGGGTAATGTAGACACTTTGTGTGGGAATGAGTTTACTCATTTACACATATAAAGCAAAGTGAATGAGCTCATTACTCATACATAAGAATAAAAAAAGGGTATAAAGAGTCAGAAAAAAGTGGATAATTTCTACAGTTTTGGCTGATTACACGCGCTAAATCCTTCATCTCCATGGAACCCAGGCTCTGCAGGATCTTCTTTCTCATCCTGCTTAAAGTGTGTGTGTGTTTCTCCAGCAGTAATAGTGTTTTGGTACCCTGCTGTTGTCTTTATGTTTTTGAACCATACAGTATTATCAATGAAGGATAGAGATTGTTGCCTTGGACAGAAACCACCTCTCGTGATTTGATGAGATATTTGCAATTTCACAGGGTTATTATAGAAGATTTGTCAACCCTAAAATCAACATCCTTTCATCTACCTGTAGAGGACCAGAGCTTGAGAATCACACAAACTCCATCCCTGAGGGGGTATGAGGCAAAATTAAAACTAGATCTGAAAAACAATATAAAAACTACTTTCGGGGGAAAAAATGAACTTGAAAAACAGAGGAACTCTCTTTAGTTTTAGTTTCTGTTAGGTTATAATATTATCTAAAGTTTTTACCAATTATTTCTTACAGCTATGTAGTACAGCTGTTAATACCTGTGCTGACTTTTCTAAATCTTGCCTCTGACAAATGCCCTCCACACAATAAAAAGATGACAATGTCAACAAAAAGTGAAAATGTAAAAGTGCCGGAGCAGTAGCGCTGTAATGCATCTGTGTTTATGGGTGTACCTAATGAAACGATCAGTGCATATACAAAGACATGTTAAACATTAAGGTGCAGACAGAGTCAAAGCATTGTGAACTTTATTTTTTCTGTACTTTACATAAAAGGTTTTTTTTTCTGGGCCCTAGCTTTATTAGAGCTGTACAGTATCTCTTCTATATAGCACATTGATGCATTAATGTATGCTCTACAGCTGTTTATGTACATGTGGACTGTGGTTGAGGATTAAAATCAATTTCTCTCTCATAATGCAACATGACAGAGCAGAATAAATCAGTTTTCACAGTTTGAACAGTTCAGTTCGATCTTCTATGATAATTCTGAGACCTTTACTTTCCACTGTTGACACACCTCCAGCCCACCACAGCAAACTTTATTTTGATGTTTATCCTGCCAGGACTGGCAGCATGAAGCATGAAAACACAACTGATGCATACAGAACTGAAAGATTAATAACAGGATTGTTTAACCCTGAATAAAACTTTAGACTGCACCTGAAGTCTTTGTGGATACAATAACTTATTTGTGCGCATGTGGATGCTGTTATCACCGTTATGTTTCTCTTCTGATAAAGAATAGAAAATCAACAGTGACATAAGAAATTACAAGTGTTTGCTATCACCATTGCTTCTATGGATGCTCGACAGAGGGGACTGGTCTCTTGTTCCAGGATCCACTTTGGCAGAGGTACAAAGTGCATAATCCTCTTGGTTTTTGATACAGGGCTGGGTAGGTAGGTCTGTAATACTCCATCCAGAACTACAGTTGTCCAAATCCCAGTATTCCTCTTTCCGTTGTCCTCCTACTTGTCTTCTGACACACTGATGGAGGCTCTCAGTTCATGGAAGATCTTTTACCTTGAAAAGGAAGCAAAAAAAAATAATTAAAAAAAATAAAAGAACTTAAGACAACAAGAAAAGCAGCCAAATTGAAAAGATAAGGAGCAGACACCTGATACATCCCTAAACTGGCTAAATGCACTGTGTTCTTATGCGACAGCCACAAACCAGATAACAAAGTATTAAAAAAAAAAAAGTTTACTGTTTGTGAACAACAGCACGAAAAAAAGGTTCAGTGAGAGATGAACATAAATCAGTAACCAGTCCTACCTGGTTTGTGGCTGTCAGGACGAACTAAATAATTTCCTTAATTTGGAGAAGAAGCCAACTTGTTGATTCAACTCTGCCTTGTTGTCATGTTTTCTTTGCCCTGCCTCAGACCGCCTACCACTGCTGCCCCCACCTGGACAGAGATTGATACTCCATCAGCCAGGTTTATCAACTACGCAGAAATTCCTTTCTCAATCTTATTTCAGTGGACCAGAAGTACACAGCAAAAACCACAGAAGAAGGTAGAAGTAGGTAATGAAAAAAGCAGGAAACCAGATGAAGCTGTGTACCTGTGGTGGTGGCAGTGACACCGTTTACCGTCCCCTCTATGTCCGTCTCATCCTCAGCGTAGCTCATCAACAGAGCTCTTTGCCTATCTGTGAGATTCCTGTACAGGAAAACAAGGTTTTAGCTTTATTGTGATTTAATACATTTTTAAATTACACTGCAAGGATGTCAGTGCAGTCTTACTTGGGTATTTTAATTTTGACGTGGATGTAGTGATCTCCAAAGCCATAGCCACTGACTCGAGCAATTCCCTTCCCTGACAGGCGGATCTTCTGGTCTGTCTGGATGCCTGTAGGGATCTAAAGACAAATCCAGTCAATTGTTACACTGAATGTGTTTGAAATGTTGCCCAAAGTTGTTGTTATTCGGGTAACAAGAGTTTCTACTTACAGATAAATTCAGAGTTTCATATAGGCCCTGTGTTCTCGCTGTGCCGCCCAGGATGGCTTGCGCCACAGATACGTAAAGGTCAGAGTGGATGTCTGCGCCGTCCCTCCTGAATATGGGACTTTTTTGGACCTGGTCACAATCACACGTCAATCCCATTAAAGAGGCTCAGAAGGAAACCCTTCTGGAAGGTCTGGCTGTGAGATTAGCATTAAATAGCAGCAACTGATGCGCAACAAATACCCACCTTAAATGTGATGAAGATCTCCTTCTTTCCAACCGGCATTCTCACGGTCTGACCATCCTCCACTCCTGCAGGGCATAATATGTAGTATTAATTAAAACTACTTTTAACTGGAACGATCCATCTCAAAGAATAATCCCATTAAGACCAACACCAGCAGGCTTTAAAAGGTACAGGGAGGATATGTCGCTTAAATTTATACTTTAAATTTTTAAGATTAAATGTCTATTTTGTTTTTCTAGACTAAACACCTCAACACAGAGATAAACTATCCTCCAGTCCACAACTATTTAATTATACATTTAGGACAGAGCTAATTAACTTTCTGGCACAAGACCATTTTCAATTTAATATGCATAACTATACGGACAAAAAAGGAGCCAAAATAACCCTGATTACATTACTCGAGTCACATTATGTATTTAACTAGTTAAGAGTAATTTTATCTTTGCCTTCTTTCAAATTCTGAGTGATTTAACTATCTTTTACTCAATGTTCATCAGTGAAGCTGCCCTTTTAGGCAATGTTTCAATAACTTTGTGAAACAGCCTATAGCAAAGCTTGCTTTGGCACATGGTCCTGCTCATTAAAAATGAATGCAAACATATCCTTGAGGTATTTGCAGCGTGTAAACAGTAGTCAGATAAACAGACTTGAGTGTGACTGACCTGCAGGCACAGGAACCATCACCGTCTTCTTCTGTTTGGTTTGTCCCGTGCCACGACAAGAGTGGCAGGGGGTGGAAATGACCGTGCCTTTGCCACCGCAGCGCCGACATGTGGAACGCATCACAAATGGGCCAGTATTTACTGTTTCCTATAGCGGGGAAAATTAATGTTTAATAACACACTTGGAAAAAAAAAAGAGATAGAAACGAGATGATTGTTGGAGCTCTTACCATGCCAGAACCATTGCAGTTGTGGCAGTGTTGCACCTTAGTGCCTGGCTCGTGGCCTTTACCATCACAGCGCTGGCAGGCTGTTTCGATGTTAACTGACATCTCTTTGTTGACTCCCTTTGCTGCCTGAGTAAATGTCAGCTCCATAATGTACTATGAGAGGGAGACAAAACAAACAAACAAAACATGTAAGAAGAGGACATTCTGATTGATAAAATAAACTGTTTCAATTAGAATCAGCTAAGGAATCGCTCGTCTTCACTTCACCCTATTTCACAATATCCCTCTAACCTCCTGTGGCTGATCAAATATGGCGCCGAAGTCTCCAAAGCCGCGGCCTCCAGAGAATTCTCCAAAGATTTTGCGGAAGAGCTCCTCTGGATCTACATTGCTGGCATGTCCACTCCAGTAATGCTGCCCTCTACCCGCCTGACCTGCATCAAAGCCCGCTGTGCCATATGTATCATACTGCTTCCTCTTCACTTCATCACTAAGAACCTATGAAGAACAAAGTAAGGTAATAATGGTGAAACCTGGAGATGTTTCATAGGTTTCAATGAGCAAAGCAAATCTAGAGTAGAATTAATGCCCAAAACCAAACCTCATAAGCTTCAGCCAGCTGAGCAAATTTTTCCTTGGCTTGTGGGTCATCTTTGTTGGTGTCAGGGTGATACTTTTTAGCCATCTGAGGGACAGCAAACATGAACACACCGTCAGCTACTGCAAACACTACTGTGCTCAGTTCAAGCTGCATCTCAGGCAGGAACAGACCTGGTAGTAGGCTTTCTTGATCTCCTTCTGTGTTGCTGTGCGAGGTACCCCAAGAACCTGGTAAAAGTCCTGTTTGCTGCTGGCAGGGGCACTTGTGTGAAAGGACTGAGTGTAGACAGCGTTTGGTGGTTTGAGGCCTGGAACTGTTCAGCAGGGTGAAAGGTGTGAGTACAGTTTCAAGACATTTAAAGAGAAATGCAGACAAGTAAAAAGACGCCAGATGGAGGACAGCTTTAATGTAAAACTTGGATGCATCTACAACCAAATAACACTAGAGTGTGGATCTGAGAATGTGTGGTTGTTTGTCTCGCTGTTAGCTCTGTGATGGACTGACAATCTGTCCAGGGTGTAGCCTATATCAGCTGGGATAGGCTGTAGCCCCACTGTGATCCTAAGAGGTATGTGTGGATAAATGAGATGTCTCTCCAAATGCAGTGGTGCATTTTTAACTAAAAAGTTAAAGTTGTGGCTCATCTGTCCACAAATCCACTGTACAAGAAGTATTGTGGATCATGTTAGATGGTTTCCTCTGTGGGATTATTCCAATAACACAATTCTTGAAAAATAAGATGTGGAATAAAAATGTAAGTAAGCTGTGGATATTTCTGTAGGTGTTTGTGTAACTGTGTCACTAATTAGTGTGTTTAACATTGTTTTCTGCGGTTAGTTAGCGAGTGTAGGTGACAAATAATGCTAAAAGACATGAATGGAAAGCATCCTTAGACTAACCCTAACTGACAGAAGCTTCTAGAAACAACATAGATCCCTAAAGCCCCCTCCAAATGTGGAGCATGTGAATTAGTCAAACTGACGGGTCTAATGTTAGTGTTAAGTTACTGACCAGGCCAAAATCTACAGTCTGACAGCAAAATGTAACACCGGCATCGGCCTCCTGCAAACTGAACTTAATGGCTGCAAAGTATGCAAGACTGACTGCATCACATTTGATCAACTTTGAGAGTGCATCATAAAAATGCGCCGGTCTCCAAGCTCGTCTTTTCTTCAGTGTTTGCTTGAGCCGTCATGAGGGCACTTTTATTTAGCTGTCTTACCCTGCGTCATTCGAGTGAACTTCAAAACAATTAGCCTAGAATAGCCTAGCCTAGCCTAGCTAAGGCTACTACCATATGGCTAACACAGCTCTTACCTGACAGCCCTCTCAATGTCACCGCTTTCCCCACTCCGCCACACACCAGGCTCCCATCGCGCCACAGTTTTTCGGCCCGCAGTGTAGAGAAACTCCGGACTTCTCCATGTCCAGAGCACACAATAGCACTGACAGCTCTCCGCTGTCCTGAAGACACGGCGACTGTAATCCAACGTGAGGAGCAACGAGCAGCCGAGGACGCCATCATTGCTACACTGGCCGCCGCTCCAGACGCTCTGCGCATGTTCGGGAAACAGTGGGCGTCACCCACTAAAAACCCCCCCCAAAGATATTCTGTTTAATCCGAGATGTCACTCTCTCAAGAAAACATGATCTTTGAAAATTTAACTTAAATCACCTTTTCTTTTTTAAAATAAATTCTGCTTAAGAAGTCACATCATATAAATCACGACCGGCTAAAATTATTCAATTTCCCCTGACTTTCCTCTGTATATCGAACATAACAAGTGACAAACGAAAGAGGATGCACACCTTTTGCAACACGGCGTAGCGCGTGAAGACAGCAACAATCCAGAAACAAATCTCCCGCCCTGTCGGACAGCTCCGTGGAGCAAAGCGAGCGAACACTTAAGCGGCAAGGCTGAACTGTCAGCTGTAGAAGGAACCCTCCTTTGCCGAGTACCAGCCACCTCGACACAGACACCCGGAAGGCACGAAAGTCAGTTTGAGAGGGCAGCATGAATCGCTTTAAGACCTCCAAATTCAAAAACACCACTCCGAAAATTGCCAAGAAAGATGTGAGTAGCTTGCGAGCGACAGAATAGGTGCAGATTTGCTAGCTAGCGTTAGCGTTGGTAATTAGCTCTGTGGTGTGCTCTTTTGTGGGGAACGCCTGCGTGTTTGCAAGGGATGTTGAACTTCCTGCATCTGGAAATCTGCACAGCATTCAGAGCAGGAGATGCAAGTGTTCTGTGGGCTCTTAGTGAAGACTGAAATCATTGTGGTTGCACACTGCTGTCAGCCGTGATAGGATGCTGTGGTGATGCACATCACCATACTTGTGTTAAAATAGCTTATTAGCTCTTTGCTGCAGTATTATATGGTTTTGATTGCTCAGATTTTCAGCCAATGGGAAAAAATATAAAATTTCCCCACTGGGAAAGGAAAATAATAATAATAATAATATAACTACCATATAACTACCACAGTTGCCTCTTTTTCAGTGATAGTAGTCCTGCAGATTGCAATTGTTGACATGTCTGGACTGGACTGCAGTGTCTTGCATACAAATCTGGACCAATTCTTTCTCAACTTTAAACGCCTAAAGCTCTGCTTTGTGAGGTGTATATTATAATGTAATCCCCAGCTTTTTATTATTATTATTTTTTAAAGCAGAGGCAATCCTTGGCATACACAGAAACAGTGGTATCTCTCCAAATCTGTGCTTGGGGTTTAAGACAGCAGGTGGTGCTTTGCTCTTGTGAATGTTAAACTAGCCCTTTGCACCGGAGAGCAGATTTAATGTGAAGTCATGTGTCTGTGTGCTGACATTTTATACTCAGTGCAGGGGTGAAATGTTGGTCAAGAGGAGATGCAGGATTATGTGGCTAGAATGAGAAAAGAAAGCAATTTTATGTCAAAGCTACTTCAAATCATAGGCCTGCAGAGGAATTTAAAAAAAGGTAGTGAAAGAAAGTGACCAGTGAACATAACGTTGTCTTTCAGATGATATAACTAGAAGTTTTTTAGACTCAGTTATTGTAATAATCAGCATTATATGTGGTTTAGATCGAGGAATTTAAGTTAAGTCATATGTTGTGATTTTGTTTGGGATTGAAACGGCCTCTAGTGTGATGTATTTGCATTTGTTGTCTACCTCGCTTTTGACACAAACATGTCTAGTTTTGTTGCAATAAATGCAAAGAGTGCTTTGAAATGAATGAACAGAGCAGCAATACATCTCTTCTGCAAGGCTGTCGGAGCTGTCAAAGTGCCCTTTAGCGGCTGAATGACCATCAGGATTGCTCTTAGTTTCCTGAATAGCAGCGCAGCAGTACTTACTGGAGCATGCTGTACAGACACACTTTCCTCTAGCTGCTCTTGCCTTGTTAATGTTATGAAAGAGTTTTAAGAGTTCTCTGCTGTGCAAAGCAGGGAGGACTTCCACTTCCTTCCCACTCATGCGTGCATGTGTGTGTGCTCTCTGTTAGATCCTTCCTGTTTATTGCAGCGTTTGCTTTCTTTTTCTTTTTTTTTATGGTTGTGACAGTGTGTGGCTTAATATTATGAAACAAAGAGGAGATGGTTGTTTGTGGTCTTTTTTGCATTGACTTATGCTTGCGCATTATTAAACCCATGTGTTTCCACTAGGAGTGGATCAACAATGTCCGTGCTGGCTCCTTTGCCTCCCAGGGCAACCACATCAAAGCAAGTTCCAAGCTGGTGGCTTTCAATACTGAGCAGGCTGGTAAGACTATAAAGGTTTGGCAGAACAGTAACATTCCCTTATACTGTGCTGTGAAAAGGTATTTGCCCCCTTCCTGATGTCTTGATTTTTTTTGTCTGCAGGTTTGTCATACTTACATGTTTCTGATCATCAAAAAAAGTATATTACACAAAGATAACCTGAGTAAATACAAAACACATTTTTTTAAATTATTATTTCATCATTTCATCTCCCTAGCCCTGTCTGAGAAAGTAATTGAAAAAAGCAATTGGCTGCAAACTGAATCTAACTGTTTGTGCCACCTTTGGCAGCAAGAACTGCAATCAAGTCTTTGCAATAACTGGTGATGAGTATTTTACATCACTGTGGAAGAATTTTGGCTGATTCTTCTTTGCAGAATTGTTTTATTCAGCCACATTGGAGGGTGTTTGAGCATAAATTAGCCGTTTAAGGTCTTGCCAAAGGATATCAATCAGGTTCAAGACTGGGTTCCTCCAAACCTTTCATTTAGTTTTTTCAGAGGTGGACCTGCTGTTGTGCTTTGCATCATCGTTTTTTGGGTGTGAGCTGATCACCAAACGCGGATGAGTTGTCGATGTGCTCTCGGAGTAATTTTGATGTGCCGGCCACTCCTGGGAAGGTTCACCACTGTTCTGAGTTTCCTTCATTTGTGGATAATGGCTCTCATTGTGGTTCACTGACATGCCAAAACCTTAGATATGGCTTTGTAAGGTTTTCCAACCTGGGTTGATTACTGAAACTGAACTCAGCTTTTCAAAAATGTGGTTAATTACAGTTAAATCATGAGTTAACAAGGGTGGGGTGTTACTTTTCAAATAGGGCCAGATAGGTTTGGATCGATTGTTTTTTTCGCTTCTTAAATAAAATCATCACGTTAAAAATACATTTGAATTTACTCAGGCTTATCTTTGTCAGATAGAAGTATCCACTTTTTACAGTATGAGTCATGTTTATACTGCTGTTACCCAAGTTCAGAATATCAAGATAACATAACCTAAAAATCAAACACAGTTAGAAGAAACATTTTGAATTTTTGAAAGGATAATTCCTGACATTTCCTGTCTGCTGTATGTGTCCACAGGTGGAGGCATGCTGGGCCTGTCTTCAGTCCAACCAGACTCAGACGGCCAGCGGGCCGTCACCCAGATTTCCTGCCATTCTGGTAGTTTTTTTTTTAATCCTTTTGATTGCCTCTTAAACTCTTTAAAAACAGAAATCACATGAGAAATCTACATGATGTTTCTCAGAAGTGAAAGTAGACACATGACCTGGTTCTAATATCTTATGCTAATGTCTATTAATTAATTTTCCTTCTCTCCTGTCAGATCTTGTGACTGACATGGACTTCTCTCCTTTTGATGATAGTCTCCTGGCAACATGCTCAGTAGATGAAACGGTGAGCTGTTCAGTGTCCTACTTCTTTCTGACCTTGTTCGTTCAAATATACTCATAAGCCAACGTTCCATCGTCTCAGGCCTTGTTATTCCTGCCAGGATTTTGAATTGTTTTTCCTATTTAAACGTTTTGAAGACTCCTTTCTCTCAGCCACAGGTGCCCCAGCTTACTGGAATGTGCTGAGCGGGGTCCTGCGTCTTCATACTCAGCAGCTCGGTTTACCTCACAGACCCGTAAAGATATGCAACTTTTGCCGCACACACGAATCAAAGCGATCTGCAATGCCCCGCATCTGCAAAACACTTTCTCTCCTCTTATCTTTTGCCAGCACGTCATATTGTTTCACCAGCTTGGTTGTGTCTGGGAAACGTGATCTCAATTGTGTGTTTTTCCTGACTTAACTAGACTTTATATAAACTCTTTTTCATAAATTTTCATGTAATCTGATATTGATGTTAGAAACATAACATGAGCCCAGACCCCAAATTATTCAACATTTAGAGAAATACATCATTTGACGGCCTGGTTGATGTTACACTTTGATATTTTAATTACATGCTGTTTTGATCTTCTTCACACAGTTTGTTCCCTTTGTGAGGCTAGACAACCACAGCTCCTGCAGTCTTATGGTTGCTTAGCTTAGCCATGACCGGTTGGTGAGGGGAGGGAGAGAGGACAAAAAACACACTGTAGAAGAGAGCCACACAATAATAATACTTAATGATTAAATGCAGAGTCATGTATAAACACATTTAGTGAGTGAGTGAAGAAGAAACCCTCAGTGCATTATGGGAATCCTCCCAGCAGCTTAGGCCTATTGTAGTGTAACTAAGGGAGGATTCAGAATCACCTGATCTAGCCGTATTGTTTGTTTTGCTAAGAGGAGGGAGAGGGGGAGAAAAGGGATGAAGGTTTGTTTTTTCCCTGAAATGGATACAGAGATGGCAGGAAGAGGGAGAAAGAGCCATTATCTTTATTTTTAGTCCTTTCGTGTGCGCAGGTGAAGCTGTGGCGTTTGTGTGATCTGGCGCAGGAGCAGTCCAGCAGTCCAGAGCTGACCCTGCGGCCAGGTCAGGGCAGGCTCGAGCTGGTGCTCTTCCACCCCACCTCCTCTGGCTTGCTGGCTGTTGGCACCACTAAGTCTGCTCAGATTTGGGACACCAACTGCCAGGAAGCACCGCTAGCAGGTAACTACAACCAGCAGCTGAGCACAGTTTAATTTTTTTATTTGAAACAAATCTCAAAATCTTTGTTCGTACATCATGTGCCGTGCTGTTTTTCACATGTAACATTTCAGTCTGTGTCAGTTAGTTGTCAGTAAATGTGCCGCATTTTGTTTCTGTGTGTAACAAAAGTTTATATATGGAGTGGAGTGAAGTGCTTGCCCTTTTTTTGTGTTGGAGACTCTCTCACTGACACTGCCTACGTTTTACAGCCCTGTGGCTCTGTCTAAGTGCTGGAGCAGCAGAGGTAATGTTTTGGTTTGCAATCCTGGCCCCAGTCTCCTTGGATTGGCCTCAGGATATAGTCACTATCCTCTGGCCTCACCCCCCCCCCAAAAAAAAAAAAAAAAAAAACAACCCAAAAAACAACCCCAACCCACACACATATACTGTGTCCCTCCTTCTCCCCCCCCATGACAGCTGGCCTGGCTGCTGCTGCTCACTGCTGATGCAACCTGACACCGTGTCTTTCATCGCCCTCATTTGTAGTTTTCTTTCCATGTGTGGTCAAGGAGCAAGATCTGAATGAGAAAATGTGCATCTAAGTGAGCGTGTGTTTGGGTTCTTGTGTTTATTTGTTTGTTTTTTCGCTCTTCACTTTTACTTTGTGTGGCACTGTCCTAACAAGAGCACCCTTCATTTTTTGGTGTGTGT